GGATAAGAAGACTTAGGTCGAATTTATTATTGCCAGAATGTTAATGTGCATGCTCTGGTACTGTTTTCGGCAAAATATTGTTCTTAATTCTTTGTCTTCAGATAGGTCAGCTCTTAAAGTGGTTGCTTATTAGTGTACCCCAAATCACTCACTGGTATTCTCCAAATAAAAGATGTAACTAAAATAATTGTCTATCAGAACCAAATGGATTACTTATTCCAGCTGGAAAGATTCCCTGTCTACTTCAGATGGACATTTTTAGAGAATGCTGGTGGGGAGAAGAATGTGAAAGAAAGGATTGCTTCTTTTTCTTTCTCTAGTGAAAATATATAATTACTAATATATTATTACTAACATATAATTTATTAGTAATACCTTTATTAGTAATACTAATTAGTATTGCTAATTAGTAATTAGTAATAATTTATTCGTAATAACTTGGTTATCATCAACTTTCATAGAGAGAACTTCAGGTACTTTGGATTTTAAAATAGTTTTTTACTGAGCCAAATCATCTGGACAAATTCCAGGAGGACTAAAGACAAGGCTTAATTTGGTGGACAGGATTTAGAATTACCAAAGGTTCTTTATATTGAAAGTGACTTAGGCATATGCAATAAGAGACTTATGCTGTTTATCCCAAAAAAATACAATATTGCATTAAAACCAGAAGTTTTACAAGGTCCACTAAAAGAGTAATCTGGAATAAACCTAATAATGGTCCTAATAGGTACTTAGCAATGGCTTGAATATGTCAGATTAAGATTATTCTTTGTGATAAAAAAAACAGTTGAGAAAAACACATCTTGCATGGAGTGCATAATTGGAGCTTGAAATAGAAGAAATTTGGAATTTGTAAAAAAGCAAATATAGGCTAAACTATTTCTAATTTTTTGAATATTTGTTTTCTGTTGACATAAAATACTGTATAGAGTTTTATTTTATATACTTTCTTACTATGATATATTTCCATTAATTCATATATGAAATTTGTGAATTAGAATTCTTTTTAAAAGTCACCTATCAGATCAGAATGAATGGGTTCTTGAGGGCTATGAAATTGTATACTGCTAATGCTATAAAAAGCAATCACCTGTAAAAGTTTATGTTTAGATATAGTCCCCAAAGCTCAGGGAAGTAGAAAGCATATTTTCTTCCTATAGAAACTGCCATATTTTAAAATTAGGAGTGCAGTAATATTTTAAGAAAGCAGTTTTTCATTTTTTAAAAAATTGAAAAAAAGGGTAAAACCATAAATTATATCTCAGTATTGAACCATACTTAAAGGATCTTAATTAGAATAGGCTTATAGAACATTATATTCAGAAACAAGACTGAGGCTTTTAGGGTAAACCCTTAGTCTCACAGAGCCCTTATTATGTAAATTGCACAGAAATAATAGAAAGTATGTAGAGCTAAATGGGGACTTAGAAATCATCTTTTTGTGAAGAAGAGAACTAGAAGTGGACCAACCTTAGCATGGGAAACCTGGCAAACCTTGCAAAAGGTATAAGGCAGGAATTTATGTGAAGATATATTAGGTAAGTCTTCCAGAGCTACTATAGATTTTAGTTTAGTGGATGGGGCCTTCAAGAATTACTACAGTCAATTGTAGACTGCATGAGTTTGAAACCCAAGTCTGCCAGTTTTTAGCTGTAAAACCCTGAGCAAGTTAATCTCTCTTACCCTAAATTTTCTTATTTGTAAAATGTAGATTAAAATAGCACTTCTTAGGGTTGTTGTGAGGATGAAGGTAATTAATGCTACTTAGAATTTAGCAATCAATAAATGTTCTTATTAGTGAATTTAAAAACAAGGAAGTCTTAGCAACTTAATGGGACAAATGTTGGAGGTATTTAGCAATGTCTATTATCTAGAACCTTGTATTTTTCAATCATTAAAGGTAATATACGTAAATTGAATTCTTTTGTGATGTGGAGTATTGTGTGATTTAGAGTTATTGGTTCTTATTAAAAATGTAGTTTTTCTAAGGAAACACTAATCATGTTTCCTATAACTTCTGTACTAAGTATATTAAAAGACCCCAATTTATGGAAAAAATGTTCATTCTTGTTAATTCAGTTGTTATTAATAATGGTAATTAATATACTGTTACTCTCAGTTAACCCAGATTTCCTGGATTATGAGCCATTAAAAGAGTTAGCTATGGAAGTCCTCAGAAGAGATGGGAAAATTCATGCAGCAGAGGGAGACTACGGTTTTTAAATCATTCATAGTAATAGAGTATAATAAAAAGAAAAGCCGAGTTTCTCACCCAATCATTGTAAAATACTACACTCAGAATTAAAAATTACTAGGGAGACCAACAAATGAAATCATCACATATTTATTTAATGCTTTTACTAGAACTTGCTGGAAAATGATAATCTACTTGAAGGAATAAAACAGACATGCCAAATCCTAAATAATAACAAAAAAATAAAAATAAGGGACCATAAGTGAGTACCTGATTAATTAGTAAAGTAATTTGCAATAATTAGTGTAGGAAATCAGAAGACAAAGAGAGCTTTTAGTGTCAGATGGATGGAAATTTCCTTCAAGGAGGAAGCAGTATCTGAGCCAGGTTTTGGTTGACCAAGAGGTAAGAGATAAACAGCAAAAGGTGTAGCTGGAGTCAGATAGTAGAAATAGGAATCTTGCCAAAGGACACTGGGACTTCATTTCATAGCTGCAGACCATAGAGGCAGATATACAGCCCACCATAGATTTTAGAGGTAGAATAGCTTCCTGTTTGTGAGGACATTTGGGAAGCCCATGACTGTTTACCGGCTATTAAGCAGCACGGGCCCTGAGAGTGAAGGGGGAGGATCAACTGTAGTCATAAACTGAAGATTGATGCTAACTTAATAGAAAAACCTGAAATCTTTAGCAGCATAAAATAGGGTGAAAGAAAATAAGTATAGTTATCTTTAAAGATTAAGTAGTAATTGAGATCACCATCCTTATTATGTGTAGCAGAGACTCAGATATTTACCTCTGTTTATTAGACATTTCTTTTTCAGAAAAAAATCTAAAGGGTATGTGTGAATATATTATTTTCATTGCAAAGTATTTCTGGACTCATAAGAATTTTCAAAACTAAAATGCTAACAGCCTATTCATTGTTATTTTTAGAAGTTATGTTAGTATGTTCATGCTCTTGAGGGAAATGGTTTGTCACTTTTTCTTTTAAAAAACGTTGGCTTTGTATTTAAACAGAGAAAATGATGCTAGAGAGCTTTTTCCCCCTATTAAGTTAGGGACAAAAATTTTTAGTTCTGAGACATTGAGGGCATGTTTCTAGCTATATATGAGGTTCTAGGCTAAATTTTTGTTTTGTAACATAACCTAGATTTGGTTGGTTGGTTTGTTGTTGTTGTTTGCCACAAGTATTTTATTGATTACCTGCAGAGTTTACTTAGGAGGATACCAAAGCTTACAAGACATATAATCCATAAACATTATTCTAGTTTATCTGCATTGATTTATTGCTGAAGTTCTATTTATTGTATGTTTAAAGTTATTTCTTACCTAGTGAGTCTCAGGATTATCTTTTAATATTAGAAATGTAATCTTGGACTAAAACTCAAAAAGTATTTTTATAAATACTAATGAGGTCAATTAGGAGTCAGTGTTCATCAATACTTAGAGCCTGTTTCACTGGGACTATAGACCTTAGTCTTTAAAAATAGAGACACTGTGGCCTTAGTCTAGTTGTTCTGAATCAGGATCTCTGGGCATGTAATCTGGGAATTTACATTTTAAAGTAGTACCTTTGGTCCTTATAGTTTTGGATTCTCTGCAATTGCCATTTATGTCATGCTTGGATCCATGTAATCTAAGATATTACATAGTTGTTGAGGTAGGTGTGTGTGTGTCATGGAAGCATTGAAGTCATTTTAGATATGTAGTAATCAGATTAGCAAGTATTTCAGTAGTTTTCATAGACCTAAGTAGACAGTATTGTTTTTACAGTTAGTGTTTTATTCATTAATCTATAGAAAGTAAAGCAAATAGTTGCAGTGAGATTATTTCTTACCTTAAGAACAATTATATGTCCTTAATGCTTTTTAAAAATAGCTGGGCCCAAGCCCCACTTCACACAAATTAATCAGAATACCTAAGGAATAGGCTGAATCTTGATATATTTTCAAGAGTTCCAAGTGTTTCAATGTGCAGCTACAACTGAGCAACAGGGATGTATACAAATGACCAAAAAGAAGAATGATGTTGCTAATCCAAAAATTATTGCTATTTGGCTTGGGAATCCATTGTACTCCAAACCACATACTAAAAGTATGACACTGTAGGATCCAAATCCTCTTTTCCCTAACTGCTTGTCTCTGACCCATTTAAAAAAAGCGAAGAAAATTAGAATCAAATTTTTTTAGCAAAGAACATTTTACTCTGGCTAATTTTAGTTCCATTTTAGAGGCAATTTCTCTTTAAGATCTCTGCTAAGCTTCACTAGGTTGAGTAAAGTACTGATTGGGCAGTTTAATTGATAAGGAATAAACTTTTGACCTTTTCACAGGCACAGATATATTTAATCAGTTGATTTTTATGATTTTTGGCATTTATAACCAACTCAAATGTAATCAAGAATTATTTTTCATTATCTATTTTGAACAAGGAAAATATTTCCTGGAGTGTGGCTATGTTCATGTAGGACATCAGAATCAATATGTTTAAAATTATATTTTAAAAAATGTTCGTAGGAACTAGGCAGCCAGATAAATTTAGTACTGTAGAAAGTGCTAAACTTAATGACATGGATTACAATGTATGTTCCACAGACCTTTGATTCTTCTAATGTGAAAATTTCATCATTATTACAGTTTATTTACATAAAACACATCCTTTGTTATACACCTCCCTTTGTCCAAACTCATTAAAGAAAGTCAGAAAGAATAATTTCAAGATCTGCTTTTACATTTAAAATAAATGAGACCATATGTATAAACTCAAATTTATGATATTTTCTTATGTTTCTCTTTTAGATGTTTATTGAGAATATCAGTTTCTGCATGTGGGCAGTAGATATTGAAGGTTATATGGTTTACAGAAAACATCTTTAAAAGATAAACACTCAAGGTAAGTAATAACTATAGCCTCATAAATAATCTCATTTAAATTGTTAAGGTTGCCAGATTATAATTTGACTTGCTAAACGTGCTTACTTTTTATTATTGGCCCTGTCTAAATGACCTGACAACCACTTTTATTCGTATTCAGACACATATTTTTATGCCCTAACACCATCTTGACAGGAAGTATCAGATTTTATTTACCACAGCCAGTTGATAAAATTGGTGCATTATCATGGAAGAGAGCAAATCCATTAAAAAGAATGAAGAAGTAGCTTCTATCAGCTGTGTGAGCACAACTCAGTCCATAGAGTTATACTTGAAACAATAATTAAACAAAAACTACTATTCACTGCACTTTTAAAAATGTATTCATTAATATGTTCTTTAACCATGTTAAGAACTTGTTCTTTAACCCTCCAAAAACCCTGTCATAGTTTCAAATACAGTATTGCCTCTGAATACCAAATCTCTTGTCACTATTTCTTGTGTCCCCAAAGATTTATCTTGAACGAGCATATCCTTTTACTTAGCATGTTCTGCTCATGCCTCTGGTAATAACATGCTTCCATTACTAAGCAAATTTTAAAAACATTTTGGTAAAATTTTGAGTGACATATGAAGGGTACAAAATATAAATAATGTTGCACGTCAGATGGGCACAATGGAACCTTGGAGAGTACGTGGCCTGTAAATGGGGCACCTCTGTTCAGCTCTATAATTCTTTCTCAGTGGAAATAAGAGACCAGTCAAATCATATTTTACGATTTTTTTGAAAGAAACCAGAAATACAGATTTTGAAAAGTTCTAATTTTTCAATATCAGCATAACATTTGGCAGTGAAAAATCCACTTTTGCCACTGTGTGAGCCAAATAAAACAGTTTATAGCCTTTGGTAGGGGAATTTTTTTTCCCTTTTTTCTGTTTCTTTATTCTTTTAGAATCCAAGTACTTAGAATCTATTTTTTCTCCCTAATTTGTAGTTAGCAGCTTAGCGATTTTGCTAGTTTTCTGTGATGACTATTATTGTCAGAAATGACTTCTCTTGAAAATATAAATGATATAAATATTACTTATTTTTAATTCATTTGTACAGTTATATATGGTGAGTTGGTTACTTGGACAGCTATTCAGTTGTTTCCTGAATAATAATAATGACACAGTTATTTTTATAGTTTGTTCATCTCCACAGTCTAAAATGGAGCCTTCTGATTTAGGAAAAGAAAATGGAATCTTTTTTTTCTTTAATGGACCTTTTGCATAGAAAACAGAGTAAATCATTCTCCTCAGTCCATGGCACACTGTCATCACTGGTCCATACAAAGCACTTATTTATATTTTTTATTTATTTTCTTTTTAAAAAAATATGTTTTTATTGATTTTAGAGAGAGAGGAAGGGAGAAGGATAGAGAGATAGAAACATCGATAAGAAAGAAACATTGATCTACTACCTCCTGCATGCTCCCTACTGAAGATTGAGCCTGTAACCCCAGCATGTGCCCTGACCTAGAATAGGTGACCTCTTGGTCCATGGGTTGATGCTCAACCACTGAGCCACACCAGCCAAGCCTAATGTAACTGGTTTTTAGGGTCTTTTAGGATCTTTAAAATATGTGAAGCAAAAAGCAATAGAGCTGCAAGGAGAAATAGACAAATCCACAGTTATAATTAGGTATTTCAACTTTCCTTTCTCAACAATTGTTCAAAAATGTAGGCAGAAATAAGTTAGTAAACAAATCTTGAACTATAAAATCCAACCTGACCTAATTGCCATTTATAGAACATATATTCAATAACAGCAGAATATACATTCTTTACCACTATGGGAACATTCTCCATGATAGACCATATCCTGGGTCATAACACAAGTCCCAGTAATTTTAAAAGATTGCAGTCATCCAAAGTAGGTTCTCTATAGAAAACAGAATTAAGTATCAAACTAAAAAGAAAATAATGTGAAAAAAGTCCCAAATATTTGGTAATTAAGCACTATACATCTAAATAACCTATGAGTCAATTAGAAATCATAAGGGACATTGGAAAATATTTTAAACTGAATGATAAAACACAACATATCAAAATTTGTGGAATGTATGTTAAGCAGTGCTAAGAGAGAAATTTATCATTTTAAGAGAAGGAAAAGCAAATCCATTAGTGACTAGAAACAAGGAAATAATATAAAAGCAGAAATCAGTATTTAGGAAATAGCAAAAGATAGAGAAAATCAGTGAAAGCAAAAGGTGGTTGTTTGAAAATACCAATAAAATTGATAAATCTCTTGCTAGACTGATCAAGTTCAGGAGAGAGAGAGAGAGAGAGAACGAACTCTATTAAAATAGCCAGTGAGGAGTCTTGATGATGACAGCCTTTAACTTCTTGAATCACCTTACTGAAATATGGCCTGGCCGCTATCCCTTATCTCTAATGGACAGGCATCATTCTCGGATCTGTCTTCCTAATCTTTTATGGATTTCCCTTTTCTCTTCCTGTTGCTTAAACCTTTTCTTAAGGTTTTGCTTTCTCATTTTTGTGGAGCCATCCCAGCCCTCTGGGGGATTCTTGAGAAAGGATGTATAGGAAATAATTTTTCATTCTCACTGAGCTTTACATTTCCATGAAGGTTAGATCTTTTCACTTTGCCTTCATTTATGTTGCCTTAAGGTAATTAGGAATAGCTATTTAAAAATGTGTTTGCACCACCATTAAAAAATACTTTCTCTCTGCTTTATATAGTCTCTGTAACTACATGAAGAAAACATTCTGAAAAAGGCTTTCATGAGAAAGAAAATTCAAGAAGACATTGTTATTAAAAGAATCAATCCCCTTAGATAAGCTTTATTACCCAGAATTGTGTTTAGCAAAAAATAAATATGTATTTGTGTAGATTTCTTGTAAGTCACATTAAGATTTTTTTCATCACTAATATTAGCAAGATTTAGTATCAAGAAAACTTGATGTTTCTTTTGAAATGCAATGAGGTAGGTAGTCTGGTAACCTAAGTGGTCAATGGGACATATGTGAGCTAGAGTAAGCTCTGGGTCCTATTGTTGTTTCATATAAATATGAATGGCTTTGCCTCATTGATCTGCAGTAATTGGGACTACTTTACTGTGTCAAACAAAGGAGATTTTTTTCCTTGGCCAAATGGTGTGTGTGTGTGAAAAAAATATAGATATGTATATATTTTATATATATAACTAGCCCAGTGCATAAAATTCGTGCATGGGTAGGGTCCCTAGGCCTGGCAGGAGATCAGGGCTGATCAGGGCCAGACCGATCAGGGCCCGAAGGCCCTGGTAGGGTCGGGAGAGGAGGTGACGGTGGCTGGGCCGGGTGCAAAAGGAACAGATGCCAGATGCTGACGCTGCCCTCAGTGTCCCACCACCCCATGGTTCCCTGCCACCCCCACTCCTTCCCTTAGTCCTGTGCTGCCACCGGGGGCCTGCTGGCTTGGGGAGGAGACGGGGAGGGGCAAGGGAAGGTTTTGATCCCCAGTTTGGAACATGCAGGAGGCAGCCAATCAGTGATTCTCTATCATCATTGATATTTCTCTATTTCCCTCTCCAAAATCAATCAAATATATATTTTTAAAATGCAAGGTTTTTAGAGGAAGAAAGGTAGGGCAAGGGAGCTATTTACAGGGGGGCATTTGAGATCTTGCTCACATTTCAGATAGGATAACGTAAGGTGGCCCTCAGGGTGACAGGTGAGGAGTGGCAGTGGGTGGAGCAGGGCACTGCAGGGTGAGGAACGGGCTGTAATGACTGGGAATGTCTATAATAGTGACACTGAGTGTGTGTTAGGGCCATCGCTGGGATCATTCATCCCCAAGAGGTGTTGATTCTGGATGGGAGGAGAAACACGGAGATCAGCAAGCCTTTCTCAGCCTAGATTCACAGGGGTGGGCAAACTTTTTGACTCGAGGGCCACAATGTGTTCTTAAACTGGACCGGAGGGCTGGAACAAAAGCATGGATGGAGTGTTTGTGTGAACTAATATAAATTCAAAGTAAACATCATTACATAAAAGGGTACGGTCTTTTTTTTTTTTAGTTTTATTCATTTCAAACAGGCCGGATCCAGCCTGCGGGCCGTAGTTTGCCCATGGCTGGAGAAGGTGATGCGGGCGGCAGGAACAGGCTGCCCTGCTTCCCTACTAATGTAACATGCAGTGTAACTGCACATGGACATCAGTCACACGGCCACATCAATGCCCAGCCAGCGCTGGTGGCTGTGTCCTGCCACTCTCTGGTTTAACTGCAGTGCTATTGGCTGGTGGGGGGGGAGGGGGTAGCCACGCCCCCAAGGGTGGGCAGGAAGCCAGAAGCTGGAAGTCGGAGCTAAGGTGTCCTGGCAGCACTGCATCTGCCATAGAGCTGGATTGGGAGCAGCTGTTGTTGCAACTGGATTTGGAGTCGGAAGGGCTGCACTTCCTGCACATCACCAGTGAGTCGCCAGCCAGGCCAGGCAGGGCCTGGGGAGGCCTTTCCCAGCTGGCACCGGTCTTCCCAGGGTGGCAGTATAGGCCACTTTTTTTTTCCAATTTATTTTTGTTGTTGTTGGAAAGGAAGCTCTAAGCTTGCAGTTCCTGGGATCCCTGAACCATAGCATGCATCTCCAGGCCTCACTGCGCCCCCCTCCCCCTCTTCCTGCGTTGAGCGTCTGGCCCCTAGTGGTCAGTGCGTATCATAGTGACTAGTCCGCCTGTCATTCTAGTCATTACACCGGTATGGTTGCTGGGCTTTTATTATATAGGATATCTACATATATAAAAGCCAAGCAACTGGAACACCAGAACGACCTGAATGACCGGTTGCTTTGACATGTACTTCGGCCCTGATTGGCCCCTTTACCCCATCAGGGGTGGGGCTGACTGGCCAACCACCAACAGCCCCTCCCCCTGGCTGTCCCAGACCCGATTGGGGTCAATAAGAGCAGGCTGGCCAGACCCCACCCATGCATGAATTTGTGCACCAGGCTTCTGGTATTTTATATATAGCTTTTGAAG